TTTCTGAACAACCTAATAGTAATAGAAGACAGAAGCCCATATGTATGGGAAAAACAATAACAAAGCAACACATTAAACAACCAGTAAGCACGTATGAAAACTAACACTAATAACAATAGAGTGGCAGATACTGAAATAGGATAATGATATACAAAATAATTAACTTAAATAGTATCAAATAACATTAAACATACTTGAAAAAAATTCTGGTTATAGCCAAAAAAAAGGAAAAAAGCACTATCATCAAAGCTCATTGTCAGCCATTTCAACCTCAGACAAAACTTTTAAAGAACTTTTAAGGGAGAGAGTGTCATCCACCAGCTGTAAAAGAAGTACAGTAATTCAATTTAACAAATTTAGTACATAATAAACTATAAGATTATGCATAGAAGAGTCATTATTTATTTTGACAAAATTTTTAAAGAGATTACTATGCTTACCAAAATAAAAATATCTATCTAAAGTAACTACATTCCTCCATTAAATGATATGAATTCATTAATACCAGTTACAAGCTCTTGAATAGGAGAAGAAAACACACCAAAGAATTAAAACAAACTTGTCATTTTAATCAAATGACCAATTGCCATCATTATTTTAAAAAGTTTCCAATCCAAAACCAAATGAGGATTTTTCCAATTTGATGAATATATTAATAAACCAACATGAGGAGCAAAAGAAAAATTAAATTATATTTTTGGAAAAAGTACAGTGAAGTTTTCATTTTGAAATGTTTGTTTTTTTTCCTATTTGTGATTGATTAGAAGGATATTTCTGTATTAAATTATGCTGTCAAAGCAGAATTCTTAAAATTTATATCTTTTGCTGAATTTAATAATAACAGAAATGAAATCTTTAAAAAAAACCATTAAAAAATTTCTTTTGCATAACAAAAATATGAAGCTTAATATGAAAATCTGTGTTGTGAAAATGAAAGTGAAACTTAATACATTTACATCAATATTTATCATAATTTCTACATTACTATGAGTTACTTTTATGTTCCAAAATAGGGCAAATGTCCATTTTATTAATGTACTACATTACAATTATCTTCATTGGTTGTAAGCATTCCTGAAACATAACTAATGACTATAGTATTCTCAGTTCTATTAAATTGATTTAAAAATTGGAAGAAAATTTAATTATCCTTATCCAGAACACAATTTTAGAGAGAAGTACTATGCCAATGGAGATAAAATTTTATGAACCTAAAACAAATTGTTATATAGTTATAAGGGTTTAAAGATTATGATTATAAAAATCTGTTTAACTGTAGAATTTATAAATAAATAAATATATTCAATTTCTTTAAACATCTCAAAAAATAAAAGTTATAACAATTTTATCTAATTTAATTCTAGCAATACTAAAAAACAATGATGATGATGATGATGAAAATGTTGAAAATGATGCAATTAATTCTGAAGATACAAATGAGAGAATTATAGAAGTTTTAGATGAAGAATTTGCAACTAAAGTTCATTTCATTTTGGCCAAGTCTCTTCTTCCTAAATTGCATTCTTGTTTGTCAGAAAATGTGAGTAAATAACTTCAAATTTATTTATATGTAAATAATTTATTTTCAACATTAATGTAGAAAGAGTTATTGGTTGGATAAGTACTGTATATCTTGATAAGACAATAGTTGAATCATAAAAAAAGGACCCAAAATCTGGGGTCATCTTGTAGGACAGATACAAAAAAAATTAGATTGAAATTTATATAAATTAAAACCATTATAAAAAACGGACAAACCATAATTATTTACTAGTAGAGAGAGTAGGGTATGTGCACAAAATGGAATAGCCCTTGCGTTTGTTTATATATTTTCCCATTAAATTGGAAATAATTATTATGAGTGACAAGAAAAAGAGCTTCTTGCAAGTGTAGAACATGTGATATTGGGTGACTAGAATTGAGGAATAGAGTATTTGCCAGCATGACAGCCTCAAAATGTGGTGCCTGATGTCGGTGGGCAGTATCAGTGGCTTGAACAGGTCTACAGTAGCCACAGTTCAATCTTATCTAAGAAAGATACAGTATAATCGAGAAGATTCAAGCAGCTAAAGAAGTGACAAAAATCACATCTGAGGCTACGGTTACTATGGATGCGAATTCTGACGAAATTTTGTTCTGACGAGTACGTCCGAAATCCTTGTCAGAACAAGGTGGTTACACTGTGCACGTTTTCTGATAGTACATTTCTGCCTCCCAGCAAAATGGACGAACTTGATGAGTTTTATTTTCTTGAAAGTCTGTTGATTAAGTTATTGTTGATAGGTGGTGGGAAAACAGAGCATGTTAACCACTTATTTTCCATAAGAGATGATAATGGAGAGTTCCAAATGTTATATCAAGATTTGTGGAACAACCCGCAAAAGTTTTTCGAGTATTTCAGAATGAGACCAAAATGAGAAACATCTCTGTTGTGATAGTTTTGTCTTTCGTGTTCCACAAACACCTATTCTCGAACACAAGACTAATCAATTTATCAATATCCATGTTGAAAAAACCAAAACACTCCAAATTCAACGTCAGAATGCACGAAAAAATCAAATTCGTTTGAACACTCGAATGGTTCTGACTACATCGTGCATGTTCTGACATGCCCTTTGCTGCCAAAGTAAACACTCTCATTGGAAAACAGGTATTTGTTTGTTCGGACGAATTCATCAGAATTCGCATCCATAGAAACTGTAGCCTGAGAAGTAAAGAACATTGAAGAGCTCATAATGGAACCTAAAACAGATCTGATGACAGGAAAACTCCAAGAACTCTTGAATGAATAACACCAAGAAACTCGGTGAGATATGTTTTCTTAGGAAAGAGAGGATTAATGCTGATATCTGCTATTAAACATTTTTTTGAAGTGGGATGATGATCTTAGAATGGCATCCAAACCAGGTTGAGGTTAATAGGCTTAGGGATCTCTACAATTACAATGCTATTAATTACTTCTGAAAAATCCTAAAGAAGAGAGAAAAGCAATCAACATTAAACAGATTCTTTAACCCCCACAAACAGAAAAAAACTAAAAAATGCAAGACTGTGTATTATATGTATTTTTATTATTACATATAAATAAACATAGTAAGAAAGTATATATTTTTTATTTTTGGGGGTCNAAAAAATAAATATATATATATAAAACAGAAAAGTTAAAAAATTAGTGTTAAGTTATTGTTACATTATGTTATGTAAGTTAAGTTTTAGTATCATTTCCCTTTTCCCTATCTTCTGTCACCAGTTTACACCTCCACCGTCGTCTATCCTCAAAGGTAAAGTTCAAATAAAACTACATTTTTTTATCAATTATTATTCTATTATGGTTATTTATGCATTTACAACTACAAAATGTATTTTTCAGTGTTTTCCTTACTATAGTTTTTTTTTTTTTTAATGTACTACTTTGCTTTAATTTGAGTGTGTTTTTCATGTTGGAATGAATTATTTGGTTTTACATGTGATCATATGGGGAAAAATGATTCACCTTATGACATTTTCATGATACGATCTCAGTTTCGGAATGGATTAATTTCGTATCCTGAGGTACCACTGTATATGGCAAGACACTCAGTAGCAAGGACTAGTAACCATTGGCTGCTTGCCTTGTTTTTTTTACCCTTTTAAACATTACTGGGTTAAACAGCTTTATTGTTTACAAATATCAAAAAGAAGAGTTCAACTTACTTAGGAGGAACTATCTCAAAAGAACTCACAAAGGAACTATGCCATAATTATTTGATAGAATGCAATCATCAGCTAGGTCTTCCTTGACAACTAAAAGGGAACATCTGTTGGGACTGGAAGAGGTAAGATGGCCACAAGAGGATGATGAAGGACCAGGACAATGTAGCTATTGTACTTGGAAACAAAATCAAAAAGTGAAGCCAAAATGTCATATTTGTCACTACTTAATTTGCAAAGAACTTTCGCACTGTGACTTGCATCCAGTGTGCAACTGAAAGTGTTTGAGTCAGATGATGACTAAGTTAATATATTATATAAGCTTACTTTCACCCAAATTAATAAGAAAACTATTTCATAACATGTTTCATACAAATTTTTAATTTATTAGAGTTTTTTCTGTGATATTTTCATAATATATTTTCTATCAACTGGATAATTAGACAACAAGAAAAACACACCTTTAAAAATTTGGCAAAGAAATTTACTAATAAAAATGTTTTCGATCAGCTTAACCAAACTTCCTCAGTTACGATGAAATAGAATGAGAAAATAGAACGTAAATTAAAAAATAAACGATAACCAGAATTTTAAAATAAATACATAAATAAATAACCATTAAATAAATAATTACAGAAATAAAATAAACAATAAAAAGTAAAAATAGATGAATAAACATCCCTTAATAAAATTAGCTTTCATAAAAAGACNGTCTGTCATGCAATAGCAAGCAAGCTATAACACCTTTGTGGTAGCAAACTGGAAAAAAGATGATTGTGTCCAGAACAAGCCATAATTAGGAAGACCAATGCCAATAATGGACAGAGACTATAGGGTTCTCTGAAGATAAATTATGAAAAACATGAATGGTTACAAAGGTTTTCATCCTAAGTTTCAGTACCTTTGCAATATCCTGCAGTGTTGCATCAGGGACTGGTTGGACCAACCAAACTCCATCCAAACATGAAGGAGGAATGGCAGAATATGCCAGTGATAGTACTATACGATCTTATGGAAAGTATGTTCCATCATGTTTCTGCTATGATAGCAGCAAAGAGTAAACATTGAAGATGGAACATTGATATGTGAATGGCCATGTGTCCAATTTTTCTTTAATTTGTGGGTTTCTATAACAATTATTATACGTAGTACGATCCAAAAGTTCAGGGACTTGGCATAAAATTCCTTACCTTAAAAAGTTTATATTGACGATGCACAATCACCTTCAAAGTAATCACCTTGGGCAACGTTACACTTTTGCCAGCACTCGTATAACTTCTGGAAGCACTGCTGGAAGCCATTTTTTGAAACCTCCTGTAAGGACTCCTGCAATGTTGCTCTCACCTCATCTGATGACACAAAACAGCATACCTGCAAATGCTTTTTCATTGATGGAAACAAATAAAAATATCACGGGGCTAAGTCTGGTGAATAGGTGGGGTGTGGAAGCACATTAATTTGAGTTTTGGCAAGAAACTGTGTGACCATTTGGCACCGATGTGCAGGTACATTGTCATGCAGAAGGTACCAGTCTCCTCTTCACCAGATCTGCAGCCATTTACAACGAATGGATTCCCTCAAATGACGTAAAATGTCTAGATAATACTCCTTGTTTACTGCTCTGCCTTCAGGAATAAATTCAGAATGAACATTTCCTTGAGAATCAAAAAATACCTCCATCATGACTTTCCCTTTGCTCCAATCCTGCCGGAATTTATTCAATTGTGGTGAGGAGGGTGATTTCCATGTTGAAGAAGCACGTTTTGATTGGATATCAAATAAATAACACCACGTTTCATCACCTGTTATGATGTGGTTCAAAAAAGCTGGATCCTTATTGGCTTTATTGATTAAATCACCTGATATTCTCATTCGTTCTTCCTTTTGTTCAGAAGTCAAAAGCTGAGGGACAATGTGCTGAGACACTCTATGCATCTTAAGATCTTCCGTTAAAATACACTGGCAACTAATCTTTGATAAGTGAGTAGCTGCAGTGATTTTTTTCAAGGGTTTGATGATGATCTTTGCGAACACATTAAGAGACCAACTCAACATTTTCCTCATTTTGTGAAGTCAAAGGTCGGCCAGAACATTCATCATCTGCAATGGGTTCTCAGCCCTGTTTAAAACACCAATGCCATTCATACACCTTTGATTTCACCATTGTAGAATAACTGTAACGTTTCTTAGCAATTTTAAAGTCTCTGTAGGTGTTTTACCTAAACACTGACAAAATTTAATGTTGCAGCACTGTTCTTGAAACTTCATTTTTATTACGTTGCAGAACAAAGGTAACTATCTCTGGAAGAAAACAGCAGCACTTGCAGTTTAATCATGTGACCTGGGTGAAACCAACCTGAACACGGGTGGTTTGGTAGAATCCATTTCATATGCTGTAACTTCAAATACATGCTTTTGTTGTCATAGATTACTGCAGTCCCCAAACTTTTGGATCAGTATGATAGAATAGAAATGTTTTTAAGTATACATCTTCATTTGTTGGTGCCCTAAATTATTTTTAGCTCTCAAAATGCACAATCTGCTGCTCTGTCCTCTATTAAATGTGGGTCATACATGTCAGTTTCGATTTCAATATCTGATAATAATGTAATGACATGTCTTGTGCATAAATTTAAGAATGATTTAGAATAACTTGAGTGGATTCTACCTGAAAAAAAATCTGTTATGTAGAATTCTGTATAGATTCAAGTTCAAGTAACACTTTTAATGGGTTTACATAAATTTTCTCTTCTTTCATTTTTAAAAATGAGAACTACTTAAGTTTTGATATTTCCATTACAGAAATTGTCGTATACATTGTAATGTTTTTTAAATTATAAGATTCCAAATAGAAAATTTGAAAGTCCAAAAATATTTAATCAAATATGAATGACTTTTAGATAAAAATGTACTCCAGTTTGTAATTTTTAACAAAATTAGTTTATGAAGTTTTAATGTCAACATTCAAAAGTTAATGACATTATGGCTAAAGCTTGTAAATAGGATAAAGCTAGGATTAACTTACTAATGCTAACTTTATTCAAGTCACGTGATTTGGATAAAGCATGCTTTATATGGATAAAGTTCAAAATTAATAGTGTGTTACTAGCTTTATACAATTTGTGGGCTTTAGCAATAGCATATATAAATTTTAAATATAATATATAATTTAAATATATTCATTTTAAATGTGTTTTATAGTTATTAAATTCATGTTTGAAAAAAGAAAAGTTGCCTGCTGATGGTCAAGACAGCTTGCAAATGTTGGATCCATTTATACATTTATTGCTCAATTGTCTTCAATCTTCATATGCAAAGGTTTACTTTTTAAAGAAATATGATGTATTAACTTTATTATAAAGTTTTAACAGCAAATAAAAATAACGATGTGTTTTTTTTCAGGTGATATCTTTAGCTCTTCGTTGTTTTATTTCAATTTTAGCTTTTCCTCTTCCTTCTTTACAATCAAACATTACAAGCATTGTGGTTCGTCTCTTTGTTTTACTTAAAACATATGCAGGATTGGGAATGGCACAAGGAGAAAACTTGGAAATAGTTGTCACCTGCTTTAAAGTAATATAAAATTATTATAATTAAAGCATTTAATCTGCAATACTTATTTCACTACAAATATTTTTGTTTATTTTTGCACAGGCTTTAACATTAGTTTTGTTAAATGTTGAGTATTATTCATTTACCTCAGAACAATTGGTTATTCTTTTGAGTCACATCGAGCAAGACATTAATGATCACACAAGACAAGCATCAGCTTTTAATTTGCTAAAGGTACTTTGAAAATAAATATTTTTTTGATAACTTCTTTCATAATCACAGATAAACTAATTTTTAGGCCATAATATCTCGTAAATTGGCATCTTCTGACATTTCAAGAGTGGCAGAAAAAGTAGCAGAATTATCAATAACTTCTAAGCAAGAACATGTTCGCTCTCAATGTCGACAGGTAATTTTACATACTACTTTAAAAAAAAATCATTGGACACCTCTGCCACTAATGATATGTAACATTTATGCAAATTATTTGTTCTTACTGCCTAATATATACCATGCCTGCAATGGTAGATGGGAAAATCTGTATTCTCTAACATGATTATGGTCCATCAAGAGTTGTCAGTGTTTCAGAAGAGCTTGATTGTGGGGTGTCACATTGCCAGGATGTCTGTCATGCAATAGCAAGCAAGCTATAACACCTTTGTGGTAGCAAACTGGAAAAAAGATGATTGTGTCCAGAACAAGCCATAATTAGGAAGACCAATGCCAATAATGGACAGAGACTATAGGGTTCTCTGAAGATAAATTATGAAAAACATGAATGGTTACAAAGGTTTTCATCCTAAGTTTCAGTACCTTTGCAATATCCTGCAGTGTTGCATCAGGGACTGGCTGGACCAACCAAACTCCATCCAAACATGAAGGAGGAATGGCAGAATATGCCAGTGATAGTACTATACGATCTTATGGAAAGTATGTTCCATCATGTTTCTGCTATGATAGCAGCAAAGAGTAAACATTGAAGATGGAACATTGATATGTGAATGGCCATGTGTCCAATGACTTTTTCCAAGTAATATATGTTCAAACAAATGGCATACTTCTTGAAGCCGTTTTAATATTTTCTTTTATTTATAGATTTATCTGCAGTATTTACAAAATTATATTTCCAAAAGAAAAGAAATGTCAAAATTATTATCAACATACATGGCACAATTAGAATACCAACATGAATATGGCAGAATATCTTGTTTGGAATTGTTAAATTCCATTTTTAATACTTTCAGTCAGGTAAGGAAAGGTTTAAATCTTTCTTTTATGGAATATTTTGTGTATTTTTTTGATACATATTAACTTTTTTACAGAAATCTTTGAAAAAATTTTCTGGTTTATTTTTTATTCCCATGTCTGCAAGATTAATTAATGATGATTCTCCTCAATGTCGTAATTTAGTTGCCCTGGCTTTAAAGAATTTCCTTGCTAAGGTAACATTTTAAAGTAAAGCAGCATTATCAACACTGATGTATAAAAATAATTTTGTTGCTGTCATAATAATCCTTATTAAAAATATTTCAGATTGACAAAGAAGAAAGAAGTAAATTATTTAGTATTGTTGTTACCTGGCTCAAGAATGATAAGGTATTCAATAGCTTCTTTTGGAGCATATCACTTTGAAATAGACTTCATCTTTGTAATTGAAATAGAAAATTACAAAATGAGTTAATAGTTGGAACCATAATAGAAATATTTTACATATAAATTATTTATAATTAGCCAAATTACTTTTTTACTTAGTTGAATTTTGCCAGGTAAATCTACATATTCTTCAAAATTTAAATACATAAATTTATCATCAATATTAAGCAGTTTATCTTCAATCAAAGATTTTATTTGTTTATATCCATTAATGCTTGTGTGCATTTACAAACTTCATTACATTAATTAAACCTTTAATATTAAAGTTATGGATAAGAAATATGTCATGTTAATTAATTAATTAATTAATTAAAAGATATGATACATTTTGTTTGAGCAAACAAATTGTATTCATAAAAATAGTGATAAAAGCAGTCACTATTTTTTGCCAACACTCAAATATTTACACTCACACAACCATTAAATGAAAGACATTACCTAAAAAGACTTGATTTTTTTTGTCAAAAGTTGTTTTAGGTAATGCCTTTCATTTAATTCGATACCATAGATATTGCACTTAATGAGTTAAGTCTTAATTATACAAATTAGTATCATTTCTGATTTGATTATTCATTTTATTTTATTTATTTTAGCTTTCTCATCGACGTCTGGGTGTTCAACTGTGTGGTTTGTTTGCTGAAGTAGAACAACAACATTTTGAACATCGACTTTCACAGGTTTCTGACATTTTTCAACAACAATTAAATCCTGCATCATATGATAAGGTTCATATATTAATATTTATAAAATGCAGTTTTTGTCTCATAATTCAAATTTATATATCAAAGTTTTTAATTATGATTTCAGATTGAACATTCTTTTGCTGAAAAAAATGCTGATCACATTTTATATCATTTACTAAATTGTCTGATGAAAATAGTTTCCATTTGTCCATCTTCACACAAGTTAAGCACAATTTGGGGTAATTTTCTTACAATAAAAATATTATTTTAATTTAATTATATAGTAGTAACTCTGATTTTATTTATTTACATAAATATCAAGATGAGATAAGGGCACATTTGCTTCATCCTCATCTTTGGGTTCAGTTAGCAGCTGCACAACTGTTTGGTTTACTTTTCTCTCAGTATTCTGTAGATGATGTCATGCAATATGTTTACAATGAGTTTCCAAATTCTGATGTCTATTTATTATTTGATACAGAACAAAAGGTGAGTATGGTAATCTTACTTACCAATTCTTAATAGAAGTTTCTTATAATTCATTATTATTAACATTAATGATATAATTTTATTATTTCAGTTGAAACTGCTATGTAAGGATTTTCTTATTCAGTTAAGTAATCCAGAATTGGATAAATCATTGTCTGAACAAGTAGGTTTTTTTTTTTATTAAGTATATGTTAAAGTATTATTTTTGAAAAACATGAGATTATGTAAATTATCCTCATTTACTAACAAATTTTATTCTTTATTTTCAGTTATTAAAAAATCTTATATATTTAGCTAAAATCTTTGCTAAGTTGTATTCAGAAGAGAAAGAATGTGATGATTTTGGGCATTTAATTGGACGTGTCTGTCGTGAAGCTAATATAGAAGTTGTCAAATATCCAAAATCTACTATTAAAGTAAGTTATTTCCAATTTTTATTTAAAACTGTATATAAAGAACACTATATTTCGGAGACAGTTGATCATTAGCAGCCAGAGGAACTCAATCAATAATTTCATCAAACAAACAAAATTACTCACTGTCAAAAACATCTCAACAGTTTATTATTTTTACAGTAATTTAGATTATAAAAATTTTCTATAGGAAAAATATATTTATCATCACATTCCACTATGCTTGGCCCAGATAAACAGCACAAGGAAATATTGTACAGAAATGTACATTGTTGCTGCTAGTTGCCATTAATTAGTGCACTAGTGAAATATGCATGATTTCATAAAGCATTAGGGCCAACTCCAGTTTTTAGTATACAACTGTATATAGGAGTGTGCACATCACTATACATTTTGAGACACACGTCTTGACTCTCATTGACTCACAACTGACTCACATAGCTGTGCTGGGTGTGATGTGAATGATATTACAATTGTTTATAGTTTATAATTTTTACTAATTTAGTTGATTTGTTTTTATTTTACTTAATCATCTACCACTTACTATAGCTGCATATTTTGAATCTGTTATCATAGTATTCTTCTTAACTTTGCTGAATAATACCCCATAAATCATGCAGAAATAAGCATGTTTTATGATTTATGTTAAAATTCTGTAACCTAAATGACTTTTTTTTTTTAACCTGATATTGCCCCTTTTTGGGATCTTGTTATACTGGAAAAAGGAAGGAATGTTGCTCATTTCATGAAATAGACAAAAATTTGTGTTGATTTACCATTGGACATTATTCTTGTAGTGATATTAGTAGTAGCATTGTGGTAAATTTAGGAACTTATATACAAAGCATGTTCAATAGAAAACTGGAAAAGTGCCATTAAAGGTTGGGAGGATGAGCAATAGCATAGTAATTTTGACAAGTCAGAGGCAACATTAAATGTGACTGGCAGCACTGTTGATGTGCAAGAACATAAGACAGTGAATCAATAAAATAGTGGCACCTCTCCAGCACTGCATGAAGTAAGAACAGTACATTGGTTTTTGTCAAAAATTGGAAACAATCAACATACATTGGCAAGTGCAGATACTGTAAGATTACTATATGAGTTGCATACAGGCATATGAGTAGAGTTCTAAGATTCCAAAAACAGCCACATTTCTGTGGAAGATTTTCTACTGCTGGGCCATAGTGAATGCCATGGAGAATCTTCCACAGAACTACTAATACATTCTTCATTCTGTACTTTGACAAATACAGCTTTTCCTGGAACATTGAACATTTATCTGGATCTAAACTTGAACTAAATGAAAATGTTCCATGAGTTTTTAGGAATAATGAAATTTGTTTTGAGTATTTTAAATTTAACAAGAAATTATACTTGGGATTCATTGACCAAAAGGAGTAATTTGATAGTGTGCCTAGGGGAATACTTTTTGAAGTTCTAGAGAAATATGGCATAAAGGATACTCTACTAAGGGGAATCCAAAATGGGAAATATAAAAGTTGGTTCTTTGCTCTATGCAGATGACATTGTCCTGTTAAACAATGAACCTGAGGACTTCCAGCAATATCTAAATAAATTAGAGGAAAGTTGCAGGAATTTTGGTATGTCAATCAGCTACAAGAAAGCAAAGGTTATGGCTATTGGTAGAGTGAAAGAGACGATAAGTTCTCATAGTTAGGAACAATTTTTAGTGAAGATGGAAAGTTAGATTTGGAAATCAGCAATGCAGGTCAGGCAGGAAGCCAATTGAGCAAATATATCTGGAACAAGAAAGAAATAAGTCATAAGACAAAACTAACTGTGTACAATACAATTTTTAAACCTATATTGAGATTTGGTTCTGAGAGATGGGTGAAAAATAAGGGAATTAACCAAAAATGGGAGTATTCAGATAAATTAGTGGTGTTAATAGATGGATACTGTGGCAAAATCATTTTAAAAATGAAGACATAAGGAAAACCTCAAGATAACTAATATTCAATTGAGAGTAAGGGAGGCTAATCTGAGATGTTTTGGCCATTTAGAAAAATTGGAAGAAGAACAAGCAGCCAAACAGGTATTTGAAGCTAAAATCAGAGGGATGTCCCTAGACAAAGGTAGATTGATACTGTTAAACAGGCTTTAGAAGAAAGGAATTAAGTTTTTAGCCTGGAATAAAGTTAGTCTGTCAATTGAAGAAAAGTAGCAGATGGTAGTATAAAAGTTTTGATTTTTTACTATGTTGACCTGTGCACCTTCTGGATATCAGCAGGAATAGATGATGATGAGATATTTGAAAAATCCGAGTTCATTATTATTTGTTTTTATTAGTAATTAGCACACATGTTCAGCATTGTCTGCACAAATGTTAAAATGAAAACATTTTAAAAGTTTGGCTATTTTAGTTGATCATTGTTATTTTTATCATGCAGTGTTGAGGTTTTATGGAAGCTTACATTTTCTTTGGAGTCCTAGAAAATAAGTATGAAAATTTAGTATAGAGTGCTCATAAAGTTTAAAAGTGTATAGAGAACAGACAGATATAAAGCATTCCATTTTATATTATTGTTACAGTCAAAACCCGTTTTTAGTTAGAACGCGTTTTAACTAGTTGAAACTAGTTTTTACTGAATGTCTTTGTTAAAACCTGTTTTGTCTAGTTGAAACTAGTTTATACTGAATGTCTTTGTTAAAACCCGTTTTGTCTAGTTGAAACTAGTTTTAACTCAAATTCATTTTTGACTAGCAGTAAATTCTAGTTTTAAGTAGACAGAATGGGTTTTTACAAAGACATCCAGTATAAACTAGTTTTAACTAGTTAAAACGCATCCTAACTAAAAACTGGTTTGACTGCAACGCATAGAGTGATTCGGGGTAAGATGGTAAGCGGGGGAAGATGACTAATTTTTGATATTTTCAAACGGTGACATCACATATTGTCATGTATTTGTATGATGAATCGTTGGGCCAATATTGAGTGCGGAAAGCTGTAGTTGACTACCGTTACTTCATTTTCTACATCCGAGAAGAATAAAAGCTAGATAAGAACGAAGTGTTTGTTGTGAAATATTTCTAGAATAATTTTAAACTAAAAGTTAAAATGGAATTTATTAAAAAATGCTAAAAACAATTAATGTGTGATGTAGTTAAGGTTCTAAAGTTTCCATTGTCAGTTACCGCCGATCCCGATCAGACATGCTGGAGCACGTGACTCTACTAGGCATCTTACCCCAACAAATGGAAAATATGCCACATTTTTCTTGGGGTAACGTGCCTATTTTTTGTTAATTGATTTCCAATATGCCTATTTTTAATAAACTTTTGTTTTCTCGTTTTATTGCAGGATATGCATAGAAATTATATAAGGACTTCTCAAAAAAGTTTTTGGACTGAAAAAAGCTTTCAGTTAGCTATAGAACACGTTAGAACGGGCGGAAACTTAACAATACTTATACTGTGCTGTTATACTTACTATGAAGTACTTTGTACTACATATGCAATAAACTAAATTTGGTTAAGAAATTCAAAAATGAATTTTAAGCAGTTATATTTGTTATCTTACCCTAATGGCATTTGGCATCTCACCCAGATACTTGGGGTGAGATGCTTAAAATGCCAAACAGTGAAAAAGTCGTCATTGCAAACACAGTATAGAATTTTTTAAAATAAACTCCAAACTTTTATTTGAAAGACATACTCCAGAATATGATATTTTCATTAGAGGGCTCCTAAACTCAAATTAGCGCTGTAATTTTCCTCATAAGCAAAATGTTAGGCATCTTCCGCCGAATCACTACACACAACTTTATTTCCCCCAAACATATTTATGTAGCTAAAATTAGTTTTAACTAATGTTAAAAGTTAAAACTAGTTTTGTCTAAAGTCAAAACATGTACAGCAGTAAATTAACTAGACAAAACCGATTTTGTCTAGTTAAAACTAGAATTTACTGCTAGTCAAAAATGAATTTGAGTTAAAGCTAGTTTTAACTAGACAAAACGGGTTTTAACAAAGACATTCAGTATAAACTAGTTTCAACTAGTTAAAACGCGTTCTAACTAAAAACGGGTTTTGACTGTAACATTATCATCAACAACCCATCTCGATTATAAGATATAAGTGCAGAGCCCAAACGGTTAGGAGTTGAAAGTGGGTACGTCATGAGAACATACACTAAGAAGGGATTTTTGAAATTCCCTGTGGGGGAGAGGGACAGGATTAAGGCTTACCATGAAAAACTTGGCCTTTGCTGTACTATTTTAGATGCCTTTTTTTGCATTTATGCAGGAAATAGAAGGATCTAAAAATATGTTCAAAAAATTCTCAACAATATTTAGTGTTCCATCATATGTAAAGTTGACATGGACGCACATGCACATAAGTTTGCTTTATTTGAACTCTTAATCTTAATGTTTGAATTTCTATTTATGAATGATTCTGGAAGATCCAGCTTATTTTTTGAATTTAGTAAACCTGAAGAAGAACCCAGAAAGAGTTATGAAAACGATTATTATTCATCACTTAGTGGTTGCAGTGAGTCTTAATTATCGTTATCCCAGTGTGGTAAGCAGATATCTAAAAATTTTCTAATTAGTCTCAGAAGAGGGGGGCCTAATTCTCTTGCACTTGGTGAAAACAGGTAAGATCAGCTATAATCTAATAATCTTAATCTTTGCTATTGTTACTTTTTTTCTGAGCAACACTGGGCTCATCTGTTAGTATATATATATATACATANCTTAAAATTCAGTTGAACATCAAAGAATTCTTAAGATTCGCTTTCATAATGTTTTATTAATCTAAACAAAAATATTAAATTAGTTCCTGTACAAACTTAAATTAAAAGTTGAAAAATTTTAAGGTTTAATAGTAAAATTTATCAGAACGTTTACAATAACTAAATGCAATATTCGTTCAAAAAAAGTAACAAGGTTGTTTGGTGTATTAATCAATGTAGGAATTTACAGAATTTTATTCGTAAATTTAGGAAATAAGCATACAGATTTGACAGAATATATGTCGTGGATCGTGATATAAAATAAATACATATTGTGACAAAAATATTAACGATGAATACAGTTGATATTGTTATAGGAAAAGTCACCCAATTACGAGCCTGCCATTACTTTGCGACTGCTGCATCGCAGTTCTAGGTGAGTATGGCGACATGTGTGTCTGTTGCTGACCAGTTCATCTTTTTCACCATCGTATTTTCCAGCAAACATGACTTTGAAAGCGCTCCTTGTCAGGCGCCATTTTCAGTCCGATAAATTTCATTTTGTTATACAAGTATAACAAAACGAAATTTGATAGCTTTCCGCTTTTTTTGGTCTTCTCATCTGAGTCGACTACACAATATCCCGTGTACTGAACGTTATATTCAGTAATGGACCAAAATAGGCACCGGCGCATTTTCTTGTCAGGCTATCTGTCACTGTTTTCTGCTTTTACCACGAAACAAGAACTGGGCACTAAGAGGATCCCTTTTAGCAAGCCCATTATGGGTTCGGCCAGGCCCACAATGGGGCAGCCGGTTGGTAAGGGATGGGAGCCGACAAATCCAGTCAGACCACCCCGAAAAATTCCCGGGGATTTTTCGACCCGTCCGAATTCGATCCCAGAATCCTCAGAGCGGTTATATAGAGCGGCATAATTTAGAACTAATGCTCGCTCAGGGGCTAGACACTTGTGACCGAATCGTTTTGTTCCAAGAAGAAACGATTTCATCAGTTAGAATTAAACTGCATTGACAATATCTGTACGACTTTAATTGCTAGAACATTATTTTTGATATGAATAGCCGACACTGGATAGAATCGCCCTGATGGATCCTCATAAGACCTTTTCAGGACAGCCGGATGGCCGAGCGGTTAAATGTGGTAGCCTACCGCTCTGGAAGACCCACTGGTCGAAAAACTCTAGGAATTTTCGTAGGTGCATATGTCCTGCCTCGTCCCTTTCCACCCGGTCACCTCACTGTAGGCCTGGCTAAACCTATAATGCACAGCCAAGGCCACTTGATCGCTTCGCTAGTAAGGCCGTCCGATAAACTATCTCTCTCTATGGGACCGAGCGTATAGACGCTAGTTAATATTTTCTCCGCTTGTGGCGCTGACGATCGGTGACATCCATCGTCAGCGATTCAGGTGGAGAGTATAGAGGAGTTTGGAGACGTCGCTGCATTTAAATATTTTTCTCATTAAAGCAGGTTGAAAACTTTTGACAATCAAGAAATGAGCTGCTGCAAACGATGTTCCCTAGTTTGTGAAAAAAGCGAAATAATAATAACAGTATTTTTCACTTTATTTTCATAAGACGTTTTTAGGAAGAAATAATAACTGAGTATTATTGGCATGGAAAATACAAACTTTTTCACATTAATACTATTTAATCATCTCTTTTCGATTCTTAAAGATACCAGTAGTTAATCGTTAATGTAAATTTTTTTTTTACTCGAAAAGTATGCAAAATTAGCAAAACTAGGTTACCTACAGTATGCACTGTCTACTATAAAAATTTTCACATTTTCGGACCATATATGATAATTATTAAAATGTTGTGTATTAAATCTGTTATAAAATTATTACTTTTGTTAATCAAGACTGTAAGAATAAATACCGATATAACCTTTCGAAAAAATTTGCTTATTTTTTTGCAAAAATAAGCAAAGTTTTTAGTTAGTAAAAAAATTTCGAAAAATATGCACGGAAATATGTGATATTGAAGTTACCTTCAATATCACCATATTTACGAACTTATTATAATTAATATTGGAGAAGTACACAGAAATGTGAACAAAAGCAACATATATTGTTTTAAAGTTGAAATTAAAAGTATAACTATGGTAAAAGTAACATTGCTTCAGTTTACATCTCTAATATAAATAAAATTCTTTATAGAAAAAGCAAAAGCTTATTACATAAGAAAAATTAATTTATTGAATAAAGTGTACACTGTTTTTGACTGAATTTTACAGTTTGTAAAATTCAGTCAAAGACCAGAAATGTACTTAGCTTCCTCCTCATCAGAAATTTACAATATGAATTAGACAACATTAGACTTTTAATATTTTTCTAGAAATGGGCTTATGATGCAGTCTGAGAACTTTTTCCACAGTTTGACCACACAATGAATGTATTTATATCTATATACCAAGCTGCTGTTGAAGAGAAATCCCGTCAACCGTATATAACTCACGAATAAGTATAACTAAATACAACTATAACTATATGTAATTATCACAATTTCATAAAATAGCTATACTCGCACACAAAAGTACAAAACGACCAATTTACTCAACAGACGATTCTCACCGATAACTAGCGCCAAAATCTTTCGCAGCGGCAAAAAATGGAAACAGTGTGAATACGGCAATTTTCCTTACGGCGGACGGCCTTACTAGCGAAGCGATCAAGTGGCCTTGGCACAGCAGTGACCAAGTACAAAAAATGACGAATCACTGAACACCGATAATTAGTCGCCTCACTAACAGACTGGCCGCGAAGAGTTTTCCAGGTTTTTTTCATGGGTTTAACATCTAAATAGGGACAATTTCCCCATAAATGTCCTTCCAGGAGACATTCCTTGGTAGATCTTCCACATGTTTGCATTGTCTTATAGTATAAGATTTATACTATCAAGATACTCGTACCTTACTCAAGAGACCCAAACCATAATGGGCTAAAAAGACCCCTTTAGTGCTCACAGGGCAGAAAGACTTCTAAAAAAGAACACTCAATATATGATTTGCATCGTAAAAAGGACGAAATCTATTTATGGAAAACAATTTTCCAGAAACGAGTTGCATAACATTCCCGGATGTTATGAGTTTTTATTAAAAAATAATTTTTACATTATTAAACAAAATAAATAAAATTATGTGTGTGATGAAATAAAACAGTGACTGAAAAGTCTGTAATAACAAGAACAGTGGTCTGAGGGGCCTGAAAAATAGTAGATGCAATGCAAAAATCTTTGCCAAAAAGTGTTAAAAAATGAATTTTATATTATTTTTGTATTTATTTTTTGCAAAAAAGTAAATAAAATGACAACTATGACAAAATAAATAAAATTATGATTGTGATGAAATAAAACAGTGACTGAAAAGTCTGTAATAACAAGAACAGTGGTCTGAGGGGCCTGAAAAATAGTACATAGTAGCGGGAGTCCATTATGCAAATGTGGTTTTATATAATTTCCTATACTTTTAGCCAGATCGACACCAGCCATCTGTAATAATGCGCGGTCTTAAATTGGGGTTCATAATGTCAAGCTTTTACTGTAATAAGATAAATAACTGTATATTACGTATTCACATATTCAAAGTAATTAAATACTTGAAAAGTAAAATACAATATGTTCTAAATAGTCATAATTTTAAAAATTAATTATAATATTAAATTTAATTTTACTTACTGATAATGGTAAATATTTTCTTTTCTGGCATAACTGCATTAAAGCCATAACCAATAATATAGGTGAAACAAGGAAAAAAATAACATTTAAGAAGCATACTGTCCAATTAGGAAGAGTTCTTGCTTTTTCTTTCCTGTTATTTAATAATCTCATATAATAGTTGAATTTAATAAGAAAATGCAAAAATAAAATACCATTTTAATGTATTTTATGTTAAGACATAAAATTCCATTCATTTCAAAATGTGTGAAAAATATCATTTAGCAATGAAAGATTCTTTTGAGAAATTTCTTCAAGATCAAATATATTTTGAGCAACACAGTCAACGTGTGAAACTATTTGGAGACTACTATTTATTGGAATGAAGCTTAAGTCATTAATGAATCAATCATTAGATAGACTGGTCACTGCGCAGTATTTACTCTCACTAAATACAGTAAAATCTGTCTAAATGGAAAAAGTTCTTCAGAATGGAGTGATTTTCTATGTTTATTTATTATAAAATGATAAGCTGGTAAATTGTCAATGTGTAAATGAAAGAGCTTTGGGCATGAAGAATATAACTAACCTAGATAAAGCAGAAAATTAAGTTTCCAGTTGTAGACAAATAAGCCCCTGGATGAGATTACTCTTAGAAAAAACTGCCTCCAGATATAACAGTTGTTGCAAAGCATGAGAAACTATTCTGAAAGCAATTTTGAACTTTGTCAGAAATATTTTTTTGTTTTCTGATGATTTATATCCCAAGTTGCAATTTGGAATGTGATGGGTCATTGATGTAAAGTTAGAGTTACCATAACAGATGAAGGCAAAATACAAACAGATTAGTATTAAAAATATTCAGACAGCAAGGAAAAATAACAGGAATTCATTCATATTTTTCAATGTAGTAAATGTAGGTATATAATATAAAGTTTCAATTTACACTTTCCTTTGGGGCACAGCATTTTAAATAAAAGAAAACTATATTGAATGTGCTCATGCTCTCTAAGCAACAGAGCCATTACATTCACTTATACAATGTTGCTACCTAGCCAATATATACAATAATAATCATAAAAACTTTAACACCTTTTGTCAGATTAAAATCTAAGTGGTTATGATTTAACTATTAACTGTGCGATTAGTTGAAAAGTATGGACATTTTGTTTAATTTTTCTAAGTACGGTATGGACACTGACAGAGCCTTTAAAGTATGGACTGTCTGTACTAATATGAACATATGGTAACTAATAAAATAGAAGTACTAAAGTNTAGTTTTATCTAAAGTCAAAACATGTACAGCAGTAAATTAACTAGACAAAACCGATTTTGTTTAGTTAAAACTAGAATTTACTGTAGTCAAAAATGAATTTGAGTATAAACTAGTTTTAACTAGACAAAACGGGTTTTAACAAATACATTTTGTATAAACTAGTTTCAACTAGTTAAAACGCGTTCTAACTAAAAACGGGTTTTGACTGTAACATATACATAACAGACGGAAAAGTAAAACATAAAGACAAGAAGGAAAAACGTATGATCTGGCAACAAAAAATCGATTAATCGCAGCCTTGGATGATTATATCTAAGAATGTAGAAATGTTATATAATAAATAATTTTAAAATTTCCAGAAATTAGAAAACAAAAGTAAAAACAAAATAGCAAATATTTATATGCTATTTGCGTCAAAAATAAATTTGAGTTTTAAATGGCAGAGGGCGCCACTAATTAACATGTTGCTGTTTTGAAGTAGGCAAGGAAAAGTTTAATTTTCTATTCATTATTTTTTTTCATTCTTCGTTACATTTAAAAAAAAACATGGTTATTTACTTCACAACAAATGGTAAAGTAATCATTTTTAAAATTAAGCCAATTATTATTTAAAATGAGTTGTAATGAAGACAGACTTGTTCATTTTCGGTATTGTTAATGAATTTTTAATTTTTAATTTGAATACATTCTAAATACACAATATATAAAGATTTAAAATTGCTTGAGAAGTTAAATAACAATAATTTATTTTAAACTTCGCAGAATTTTTACTTAATTTCTCAAGTAATTGTACATATACAACATATGCTTAATATAAATAAATGATGAATGATATTTTAATTTTAAAGAAGTTATAACAATGAAAAAAGGTAAGTTGTGAATGCTGAATGAGGGATTTGTCATCCCCAGAGTTATAGACTCCCCTCTGTACGAGCAAAGTCAATGAAACTATACCTGCACATGCAACCCTTTGTGAGATATTCATCTCCAAAGCTCAGATTTTACTGTAAACCAGTATAATGCCTATTCTCCATGCTCTGCATGAAGTCGTGTGCTTTGGTGCTCGCACCTTAATGCATGAGGCGAGCCACATACAGCCCTAAAACTATAACATTGAGTACTTCACGACACAATCAATTGGGCTACTCAAAACCAACAGTTGTATGGGCCAAATAGTTAAATGTGATAGTCTTAGTGGAGCAATGCAATTCCCAATCTAGAAATAGGCTGTGTCTTGCAAAGAATCACATGTAGAAGTATGGTTGTTTTGACTTTTTTGCTCCTGTGGGTATGGTCTACAGCTCTGATAAGCTCCCAACAGTCTCGTCTAGAGGCATAATTGTACTTGGGGGAAAAAAAAATAGAATTAACCACAAGTATTTATGCAAAGTATATAGAAATATTAATTATGTATAAAAAACTATATCTGTTTTAATGGAAAGTAATTGTTATCAATTGGAAATAAATGATTTCTACATTCTTTACATAATAAATTAGATTGTTACTTTGTATCTGTGTTTGTAGTAGCTGAATTACTCTAGTAGTATTTAGTTCAACTGATTAAACTGCCTTGTTCAGTTCTGTATATTTTATTGGTCTGAATAAAGATGTTACAAAAACACAAAATTTATTTCTATTTTATGTATCTAAGTTTCTTTATTGTCTAATGATTTAATTAATAAAAGGTAAAATTTAAATAATGAAAAAAATATAAACATAAATAAGACAGCTATTTAAAATAAATGAATTTATACTATACAAAATTGCAAGAATAAAATGGAATTACTGTCAAATCAAAGATGAGTTAGAAATTTATAGTAGGCCTAAATGTTTATGATGAGAATGATTATAGAGGATGATATTGAAACTGAGTGGTAAAATAACCAAGTACTGAAAGTATTTACTTTTATTTTTCTTTTATTAATTTTATTTTGAAAATTTTAAATTTCCAAAACAATGATCATTTTCTAAGTTAAATTTTAAAATATTAATTTCTTTATAATTAGTAAAATAATCATACTAAAAATTACTAGAGAGATAGGATAATGTTTTAGAAAAATAAATTTAGAAACAATATTAACATTCATTTTTTATAATTTTTACAAAAACTGTGATTTCAAATCCACTATGTTTATTTAAATTTTAATCTATGGCTCATTTTTTTTATAGCCTTCAAACTTTTTCTCTTCTAGCTTCTAACTGATCAATAAGTATTGAATATAATGTTTTCTCAAAATTCAAAAATCTTGGAAAAGAAATAAAGTAAATAAAAAGTTTTCTTCTAACGAACTTTGTTAATGCAAGATTTCCACTAAACTGCTCTTCTGTAATCATTTTTTGAATGAATTTTTTCATTTTTAAATTTGCAATTTTTCCAGAACAAATATCTATATCAAAATTTTTGTACTTGTATACAATGTTCTCTCTAAGCTGCGCGGCTGCACGGACGCACTCTGCTCAAATTGTTGCTGCGCACGAGAATTTATGTGCCGTGCAGGCGATCATGCACACCGATTTGAATTGTTGTTTACTTATTTCTCACTCTGTCTGCAACCATGATTATTTGCTATGTATATTTCAATTAAATACATTAAATCATTGACAAGAGATAATATTTTGTATAAAAGAATGTTTTAAAATTAATTTTAATCTCTATANGCGATCATGCACACCGATTTGAATTGTTGTTTACTTATTTCTCACTCTGTCTGCAACCATGATTATTTGCTATGTATATTTCAATTAAATACATTAAATCATTGACAAGAGATAATATTTTGTATAAAAGAATGTTTTAAAATTAATTTTAATCTCTACTTTATAATTAATTATTTTAATTTTTATAGAAAAAAATAAGATTATATATATATATGATCAGAAAAATTTTTTGCTCAGAATCTGCCTCAGCAAAAATTTTTTTTGCTCAGAGAAGTATATGTTCCGCTCATCGACAAAAAAAATTAGAGGGAACATTGCTTGTATAAGTATTTTTCTATTTTGTTTCATTGCTTCCAATAACCATTTTCCATCATATGCATTTAACACATGTTTTCACTTCATCTTAGTTTGTTGGAAGTTATTATTAGTGCCATTTTGTGATATTCTGCAAAATGATTTAAAGAAATCAGTTATTATACTTCTGTTTATATTTTTAACTTGTTGAATATAAAATTGTTAATTAAATATAAACTTACATGCCATTTTAAGGCATATAAATATCAGAAAAATACATATTAAATTTTTTTTAATTTCAGATAGTCATGCATCAGTTACCTAATAATATCTATCTATAATATACAACATATGCTTAATATAAATAAATGATGAATGATATTTTAATTTTAAAGAAGTTATAACAATGAAAAAAGGTAAGTTGTGAATGCTGAATGAGGGATTTGTCATCCCCAGAGTTATAGACTCCCCTCTGTACGAGCAAAGTCAATGAAACTATACCTGCACATGCAACCCTTTGTGAGATATTCATCTCCAAAGCTCAGATTTTACTGTAAACCAGTATAATGCCTATTCTCCATGCTCTGCATGAAGNCAATATTATTTCAAAATATGATTATTTCGTTAGTTATTTCTCCACCTATGACAATTTTCATGGGAAACGACAAATATGAAAGTAAGTTTTTTTATATGATTATGTTAAATGTCATATTATAATTTTCATGTAATCACTTTATTTATAAATATTTTAAGATGAAGATTTAATTAAATGGGGTTGGCCTGAAGATGTTTGGTTTCATGTTGACAAAGTTTCTTCGGCACATGTTTATCTTCGCTTACAAAAAGTAAGAACTTAATGTTATTAATGAATAATAATAAATAATTTTCTGTTTTAAGATTTAAATATAACACTTTGCAGATATTTTATATCTACATAAATTGTAGTATAAATGAAATTATAAATGTATACTTAAATATATTAGATGAAAATATCACATTTAGCTTTTTCTGTCAAACTGACAAAAATATAAATAGCTTAACTATACAATAAAAAATATTATTTGAAATACAAATTGGACAAGCATTTTAAATGTATTATGAATGATTGCTATCTATAGATTTTAAGTATAGAATGTTTTAAATATATAAGAAATAGGAAGTTTAATTTTATTATATTTTTGGATTTATTATTGAAAAATATTAAAGTTTAATTGAGAATGGTTTTTCAAAAAGGAAAAAAAAGGATTTCTAAAGTTATGAGCATTTATAATCAAACATTTTGAAAGATAATGGTTTAATAAAAATGCAACTTTTTATGCATTAATTAATTAATTTTTATTTTTTTTTATTTTTTTAGTTATTTAACAAATATACAAATAGATGCTCTTTTTTGTCTAAACATTTCAGCAATTGAATAACAAAATTTTGTTGAATAGACTTAAACATTTCTGATGTTAATTTAGTATATTCATCACATATTCTTTGCTTCATTCTTTGCTTCGTATCTGGAATCATGGTCAGTTGTTGAAGCAAAAACTATTCTTTATTAAACCCCATATAAAATAATCAATTGGTGTCAGATCTGGTGATCTAAATGCCATAAAAATTGTCTCCTTGTCTCATTCATTGTTCTGCAAGTATGTCATTTAAGTTTATTTTAAAAACTAATTCAATAATGTGGTTCAAAACTGCTTTTGAACCACATTAAGAATTGATTAAAAATTAACTATTAACAGTTTTGAAATCTGTTTCAATTAATTAACTCATAAAAAATGTGCATTTTTTATCGTTTTTCAAAATATACAACTATATATGCTCATAACTTTGAAATTATCATTTTTTTGAAAACTGTACTTAATAAAAGTTCATTATTTTTAATAGAAAACCCAAAAATATAAAACCCTGGAGTTCTGTATGAAATTTTGAAGTTGCTCCCATGTCTATCCATAAGGAGATGGGCAAAACTTTATTTTTATTGCACTAAAGACTTCTTAGAAATATTAAACTTTTATTCTTATCATTTTTTTTATTAGAAGTGCATTCTTCAAGTTATTGACTTGTAATACATTACATGAAACACCCTGTGTAATCTGTTTAAAAAAAATCAGCTATATATTTTCAAAAAATATAAGATATAATATAAATAGGTCAGATGTCCAAAATATTTAATGTTAAAACAGAAAACTATTTTCGTGTTACAGTGGATTTTTGATCTATCATTTTAGGCAGGACTTGGAAGAAAAAACAATTGATACAGGAAATTTATAACATTAATATTTTTATTTTTATCTCATATAAAATGTGTATTTTCCAGTGATAGGCTTATATGATGGCTTTCTGCAATATTAAGCAATATAGAGCATGTGCATGGTTGTTCATTTATTATACATTTTAAAAAATTGTTAAGAATACTGAAATTTGTTCTATTTTCTTTTGGTAGGAATACTTAATGTGTTGACTCTTTTCTTGCACTTGAAAATGATACTTAGAAGTGACAAAAATGTTAGTGAAATTATAAATTTTTATCACTTACAATGTGTTGATTCTCTTACAGAAAAGGGTTCTGACATTCCTTACTTCTCAAGACATGATCTCCCCTACCTCAAGACAATGCAGGTTGCCAACCTTACAAGAGAAAATCATCATATCTGACTCTTGAAATTATTGTATTTCACTTAAAATTATTGTACATCCATTTTGATTCTTTGTACTTACATCCTTTACACACAGAAATATTAACAAAGTTCTCCCTATGTCAGAATCCTGTAAACTTTTTATCTGTGATCCCTTCTTACAACAAAAAATTTTTAGACCCTATTTTACAATAAAGTTTTCACAACTCTCCCTTATAATATATCATGCAAAACAAACCTCTAAATGGGCATAAGCTAAAATTTACGTTTTTTCATACAATTTCAACCAAATACGAAATATCAAACATTAACAAATATTTAACACATTCCTTTATAGAGGAAAAGGTGGTATTATGGAACCACCCCATTTCGAACTGATAATAAAGGTGAACTGTAGCGGATTGTGGCTGAACTGAACTAGGCAGACATCCATAGCAAGGGGAAAATCTGTTTTACTTCAGTTAAACTGTTGTCCGTATTTAATCAGTAAATTTGTTTTTTTCAAAATTCACAAGTTTTTAATGCTAAGTGAATTTAATTATTTTTAAAATATAAATCGTGTAGTTGTAGGTTCACTGCTGCATGTATTCCGTTCCATAGACTTAGGGGTACATATTAATCTGTGATGTTCACATTTTTTTAAAATTTGGTCTTGACAGACATAAGTTAATTCAAGATGGCGATTCCCTTGGTGCTTTTAATATGGAACCCAACTCCTCCGAACTCTCTCTTTGCAAGCAGACATTTGTCTGGAGCAATTTGTGAAAAAGACACTAGGTAGAAAGCCAATTCTTCCTGAGAATATTGAAAAAGAGCTGCTGGAATATATATTGTTGATGGAGGTCATATATTTCTATTATAAAAGCATTTTTTCGATAAAATACATTGGAGTAAATAATTTTGTAATTATTTAACATTTTTTGCACTTTCCCATTTGTTTTTGGCTACATTAAAGCATTTTTTGAAAATATACAGTAAGGTTCCATATTACCACCTGATTTTCTCTAAGCCTACTTTCTGATTTTTTGTACAAAAGCCTTCAAAAACCATACTTATAGTTACACTAGCAAAAAATCCAATTAGGAACATTTAGTTTAATAGTTACCAGTACTTTTTGCACAAAAAATGTGGGTGTAGTTATGATACCTTGTTTACAATTCACTAAAATGTAATTGGAGTTCCATAATATCACCTTCTCATCTATATCATAATTATTTCAAATGCATGAACCTTGGTTTTTCCAAATTTTGCAACTATCTAAAAGTCAATAAGTCTAAAAGTATAGCAGTTAGCAGTCTTGAGAAGTGTATGACAGAAGTGTGCCTTATAATTGAGAATATATGGTAGTAGCCAATCTAAAATCTTCTGATAATTTAGTAGCTTTCTAGAGTGAAAAATTATCAATACATATAAAAATGGTGATTATAAATTAGATTTCTTTTTCAAAAATTAATGGTTGTTTTCAGAGTAAGGCATATTTATGATGATATCATACAGATATTATTGTACAAATATGATAATTATCATACAAATAGCAATGTTGAGACAATGTTCTAACTTTTACCAGTGTTGCCTGGCTTTAAGTGGAAATGTCACCAATAAAGTACAGTATTTTGTAAAGCAGTAAACAAACAGTAGCCAAAAATTGCAATAAAAACTGGTTAGCTGTAATCAAAGGGTTTAACTGTTAAATTTGATGTGCTTTTATTTTTAGTTCATGAAAATCAGTACTTCAATGTAGTGCCCTGTATTGTGAGCAATGTTCCCTCTAAGCTGTGCGGCTGCACGGACGCGCACTGCTCAAATTGTTGCCGCGCACGAGAATTTATGTGCCACGTAGGCGAGCATGCACACCTATTTGAATTATTGTTTACTTATTTCTCACTCTGATCATCAGGCTAAGTATGGGATATAACTAGAATTATTTCAAATATTCTGGTATGCTAGTAGAACGAACAAGTTATAAACTAGTTGTTTGTAATAGAAATATTTACTAACCAGCAGTTATTTTTAATTTAACAAGTACAGTAAAATCTTGCTTGTGGCTATCCCAAAATTTCTCTGTAAAACTTCATAAGTTTTAATATAAATCAAACTATATTGGTGGTCATCTCACTTAAGTGGTCAAGGTAAGAGTATTCTAAAGTGATATTTATCTTTATTTATGTGGCCAACAGAACAAGAAAACTCTAATTTCTAAATTCAACATATTGTTTAAAGTGCTTTAAACAGAACTTAGCTTTATTGCTATAGTTTTGGAATAGTTTGCTGAGATCTCTGTAACAAATGATATTCAAGTAAAAGAAATGCTCATTTACACATGACAAATTAAATTATCTCCAGAATTTAGTAAGAAAAGGCAATTATATATTTGTTCAATAATTTTATACAAAATCTGTATTTTCTAAAAATATAATGATGTGAATCACCAATGATCAGTCTATATCACTAATAATCTAATAGTGATATAGACTGATCATTGGTGATTCACTCAATGAAGCAAAATATAGATGAGTCTGATGTAAAAACCACTTTATTTGATAATATTTTTTCCAATATTTGAACATTTCTGAATATTTAGTGATTTCTATTTAATAATCTTTTCCTGAAATCTGTTAAAATACAATATTTAAATAAAACCTTTACTACTATTTTATGAACATGTTGATACTGTTGGGGTATTGATTTCATTTATGGGTACTAAACAGTACAGAATTTTGGGTATAAAAGGAGTTACAAACTGTTCTTCATAATTCTCTGACAAGTGAACAGTCATGGTGTTACTTTGCTTGATCATGCATTAATTGTCAATTCCACAGTCCACATTTGTTGTCATATCTGTAATTATTGAAATAAAATTATTGCACTTTGTTTCTTAACTCCTGTAATTTGTTAGAAAACATATGTAATGTGCACATTAAGACAATAGAAGCACCAAATTTAGCCCTGGCAAATGAATTTTGAAGTAAAATTTTTTCCCAAAAATTGAAACTATATACTCACAATAGTATGTACACCACATTTGGTAATAAATAATAATTTAAATATATTATTATTTATTAAAAATGATGAAGTATGTCTTCATGTGATTGAGATTTGCTCAACAGTTTTTTCTACAAGAATTTAGAATACCTACTCTTTAATTATGATCAATCATCTGTGCAGTGCTCTGTAAGAAAGTTTAAATTATTATATATTTCAAAAGATATACA